CGTGCTTGTGGTCATGGTCCAAAGCCAGCTCGTGGTCATGTTCATGTGTGTGCACACCTTCAGCGTGCTTATAGTCGTGGTGGTGACTGGGAGAGTCATCGCTGTGGTTGTGTGCCTTGTCGTGATGAGTGTGCACGTGATCGTGATTCAGACCGTGGTCATGGGAGTGGTCATGAGCGTGCCTGTGGGCGCTGCCTGTGGCATGGTCATGTGTGTGGTGGTGATCACGGTCATCAGTGTGGTTGCTGGTGTGGCCATGATTAGAGCTGCACTTGGTGTGATCGTGTGCGTGGTCGTGTGTTTGGTCTTGGTCGTGGCTGTGTGAGTGTGTGTCATTGTGGCTGTGGTCAGTCTCTCCGCCCAGCAGGTGGAGCTTCTTCTCTCTCTCAGCAGCCTGGAGAAGAGATAAAGAGTGTAGGATATTAAAGAGTGAACAGTGTATTATAGGTTTGCAACCTCTAATGGCCATGTGAATAAAATATGGGCTGGTGCTTTCATCTTCAGATTTTCAAGGCCCACTTAAGTCCTGAAAATAACAAACAGCAATTCTGGCCTCCATAGCTATGGTCACCCTTCACACGACAACAGTACAGAGTGAATTTTATTTTTTAACTCTTCTATCTGGACAGTTAGAGCTTCAAAATAGAGGTGTACCAGGTCCAGGTGTGACTGAGAATTTTGACAGGCTAAAGCACTGTAGCAGATCTGTTTGCTAAACTTTAGGGGAACTGTGTTAACAAAACTTTGGATGTGTCCATCTGATTCTGTAGTTTAAAAAAACACATCCTCATTGGAGGTATACAGCAAAGACATGTATAAACAGTTTGTGTTAATTTAGTGAGTTCCAAAACACTGCGTGCAGTGAATTAAAATTAAAATCACACAATCCACCAATCATCCTTTTATTTTCTTATGCTGTAAAAAGACATTGAAGGTAAACAGCGAAACCATCTAAAAGAGTCTCACCTCAGGCTCATAGATCTCACAGGCTCCCTCAATCTCCTCATCGCCATTGAGAGCGTGAAAGAGGGATGCCTTACAGAAACCCTTGTGCTGAGGAGAGAAAAAGAAGAAAAAAGTAAGAGTGCAATAATTATGCCTGTGGTTTTACTACAGTGTAAAGGCCTTTACACGTACAGTTTGTGCAAATGTTTCTTGTTTTAAAAATACTTTTGGACGAATATTTTTGGATCAAGTTCAGTTTTTCTGATTCTCGCGTGTGAATAAACAGATTGGACCAATCAGACCACTGCATTTGGCAAGTGTGCTTGCAGCTCAAAGGCATACCAGTACAGAATATACAACGATATGGAAATAGGTTTTTAATTCTAAGCAGCTAGATGCTGCTCTGGGTCATACGGCTATCTGAAAAATATTTCTCTGCCTCCTTAGGTGTGATCTGCCCACAAGAGCTCAGACTTCCTCACTGACGTCCTGAATTATGTACAAAAGCAGCTGTGATGCAGCTTCACCTCTTGGATTAAAACAAGAAATTCTTCTTGCTGCCGGTCCTGAGTTCAATTCCACCATCAGGCCAGGGTCTTTCTGTGTGGAGTTTGCATGTTCTCCCCATGTTTGCGTGGGTTCTCCTCCCACAGTCCAAAGACATGCACTTTGTGGGGATAG